AGTGGGATTGCTGGATCATATAGTAACTCTATTTCCAAATGAGCACTTTTATCCTGCTCCAGACGCCAGCCTTGGAAGTGTGTCTCCTCACTGAGTGTGTTATCCATCCAGGACAGAGGTGGTAGGTGGATCATATGCTTTGACAATTCTAGATCTGTACTCAAAACCAGCATCTAGTGCAATGCTAAGCTATGTTCTAGAACGTCCTGAGCTCATTAAATGGGTTGTGTTTGATTCTATGTTTTCCTGGATGGGCAGGATTGAGGAAACCCAGAGAGAAGAGAGAATATCAACTGACTTCAGTCTGGTTTTCAATGCAGGGCAAGATTGGTGGGGAAAGTCTCCTTTCCTTCTGCTGTTTAATCAGTTAATTCAGAAAATAATTCTTGATTGCTCTACTGTGTTCCAGGCTCTATGTTTAGCAATAGGTGGACCAAGTAGAGAAACACTTGCTCCCAGAGAACTCACAATCTACTCAGAGGCACGGTACCAGTCTGCTAAGTGCAAGCACATTGGGATGAATGAAAAGGTGTGGACTGTGGGAGGTGCTTCGTGGAGATAATGTTTAGACACTGAGGGTTGATAGGACTGTGAAACAGTGTGTCTTCAAAGCTGGCATTCTGGGGTTCAGGGGCGCAGGAGCTGAGAGGTGCTCAAGAGGGAGGATGAAAGGGCCACAGAGCACAGAGTGGTAGAGTGTGGTTGATGCCATGCTGGACATAAATCCTTTCAGACACTTCCTGTTCAAGTGCCACCGTGTCCTTTCTCTGCTCACAAACCTCCAATGGCTTCTCTTTTCACTCTGAGTAAAAACCAGATCCCTGCCAATGCCTCTAAGGTCCACCTCAGTAGGAGACCTCTCTGACCTCAGCCCCCCTAGTTGTCTGCATCACTCACTCACTCCAGCCTCATTGACATCCTTCCTGTTTCCTGTCCACAACAGGCATGCTCCTGCCTCAGGGACATTGCATCTGCTCTCCCCTTGCCTGGAAATGCTTTTCTCTCAGAAAACTGCATAGCTCACTCCTTCAGGTTTTTACTTAAATGCTACCTTCCCAGTAAGGGCTTCCCTGCCTACTTTATGAAAAATTTAAGCCTCGATCTTTGCACAGCACATGTGATAGACTGCCAGTTTCCCGTGACCCCTTCAGTCCACTCTCTTCTTGCTTCTGGTCACCTGTTTGCCCCATAAAGACTACATTTCCCAGCTTCCCTTGTAGCTAGATATGATCATGTGACTAGGTTCTCACTAATGATAGGTGAGAGAGTTAATTTTTGTGTAACTCCTGCCTCCCTTGCCTGAAAGGAAATTGTTTGCCTTAGATTCCCTTTTCTTATCACTCTCCCTCAGACTGGACCCCAGACCGATCAGTGACCCAGCTTCAGTCCCACACATGAGGACAGTATCTTAGAGGACGGCAGAATAATGAGGTAGAAGGAATCTGGGTCCCTGAATGACCCTATGGAGCAGAGATGCCCCATCCACCTAGAATAGTAAGACATTCACATAAGGGAGAGAAACTTCTATTTAAGTTACTGAATATTTGGATCACTTTGTTGTAACGACTCTGCCTATGCTCTAACCTGCACATCTCCTCTATAAATTCCCTGATTTATTATTCTGCCTAGTACTTCACACCATCTAACACTCCCAATATTTTCTTCTTTTGTTTATCATGTGTTCCTTAAGTAGACTGTGAGTTCTTCCAGGGCAGGGGGTTTAGCATCTTTGTTCACTACTGCATCTTCAGCACGTAGTACAGTGCCCAGTTCATAGTAGGTGCTCAATGAATATATTTGGAATGAAATGTTATTGTCCACTGAAAATGAAATCAAAGGCTATGCCGTGAATACAGAGCTTCAGTACGTTTTGAAAAAAAATCCTAGGGCAAGGTGGGGGACAGTAAGAGGATGGGAGAGGGGAGGGGAAAATGAGTGAAAACAGTGAGGAACGTCATTCATGGAGGGTTGAGAGAAGCGTGGAGTCCGAGGAGGGGTGGAGTTTTTAATCAGGTCAGAAAAGCCCCTCGGCTCTCCTGTGTTTGGGAGGGAGGCTCTGGGGGCTTTGCTTCAGCATGTCTCCCCACTGGTATTGGTTTTGGCATTGACTTTTATATGAAAGAGGAAGAAAGATTAAGTTTTTCCCCATTTAGCAGGAAGGAAGTCATGCTCTGTCCTGCATTCCATCTACCCTTATTCTCATCCTCTTGAGAAAAATCTATATCCTAATATTCAGGATAACTTGCCTAGAATCCTTGAGGTGGAAGGTATTCATAGCAATAGCTGTGACGTATTGGGAAAACCATTAAGATGGAACTGAACTGCTTTAGATTTAATCTGATGCCTTCCTTGGCTGGGTGGTCGTGAGTAAATGGATTGAACTCCTTTGTCTTTAGCATCCTCGCCTGTAAAGTAAGTGTAACACTGGACACTGAATAGTGTCCCCCAACCTCCTGTACCTCAGAATGTGACTGTATTTCAAGACAGGGCCTTTAAACAGGGAATAAGGTTAAAATGGGGTTGTTAGAGTAGTCTCTAATCCGATATAACTGGTGTCCTTATAAAAAAGATTAGGACACACACACACACACAGAGGGAGACACCAGACACTTGCACACACAGAGGGGTGACCATGTGAGCACACAGCAAGATGGTGGCCATCTGCAAGCCAAGGAGAGCAGCTTCAGAAGAAACCAAACCTGCTGACACCTTAATCTCAGACTTTTGGCCTCCAGAACTGTGAGAAAATAAATCTTTGTTGTTTTATGACACCTAGTGTGTGATATTTTGTTATGACAGTCCTAGAAACTAATACATGAGATAATGTGGAAAGCTAACAAAAGGGTGTGCTGTACCTGCCCTCAAATGCTTGTCTTCTAAAGTTGCATTAATAGAAGCAAATATTTAAAATACAGGATGTGCCAGTCCTGTCGTATGCTGGTCAGAACCCATAGAGTGAATGTGGAATCCCCTTCTGGAAACAAACTCTGATTGCTTGGGGGTGGGCGGCCGTTGGGAAACTGGGTCCCATCCAGAGAAAGGCCACAAGGCTGGCGAGGAGTCTAGGCACTGTTACACTGTGCGAAGTAGCTAAGTTTAACCCAGAGAAAGGAAGAGTTAAGGGGACATAAAGCCATCTCCAAATGGGTGAAGCACTGTCTTAAGGAAGAGGAATTCCATCTAGCTGTGTGGGCCCAGATGGAAGAGCCGGAACCAGTGTGTAAAAGTTTCAGGGAGGTAGGTTTCAGTTCAGTACAAAGAGGGCTTTTCTAAGAGAGCTGTGGGCAAACATTACAGGCTTCCTCAAGTATTCCGTGAGGCTGCATGACCACTTAGCAGAAATGTCAGAGGGGGGACTCAAGCACAGGTCCTGTGTTGGCACCAGATAAACTTGGCTGTTTCTTTCAATCCTGATATTCTCTGTATGACTGGACTGTACTTATGAGCTGGAGAACAGGTCTCAATGGTGCTTAGACATATCTCTCATGATTATAAAGACATACACATGGTCAACAAATGCTTCTGAGTCTGTTGATTTGACGGCTTATTAGAAAGCTTTAGAAAATTTACTGAGAAAAACAATTACATAAGTATTCAAACTCTAGAGGTCAGTCATAGGACCTTGGAAGCATGGGTACCCAGCTAAGATTCTGGAGCCCCAAAGCGCAAGCTTCAGCAGAAACGAACTTGTGCCAGTGAAAAATCTTAAACTGATTCTATACAAAGCTGCCATCTCAGTTTTACAAAGCAAAAATAAATAAATAGAAAGAATGCTGAATTAGATTTATTTACTAAAAGTTAATCTATCCTGAAAGAATTTGTTAAAATTACTCCCAGTAAGAGTCGACAGAGTAAAAGCTGTAATTTCCTGACTACCATCAGTATGTGAGATTTGGGGAAAGCCGACGGAAGCAGAGGATGATTTGGTGGCGGTATCCGAAACATGGTTTTCATATCCACAAATTGCTACAGAATAATGGGGTGCCGCTGGTTCTAAAGTGCTGCCTGCCTGCACCACCTCATCAGCTCACACCCCTTAACTACCGTGGCTGGGACGGAGGCCCTCGGAGCCAGGCAGGCCGAGGAAGACCAGTCTTGCGCAGGGCCAGCGGGCGGCCAGAACCAGTGGGGAGTGAGTTGCACCCTTCTGCGGGCTGGGGTCGAGCACCAAAAGCCGCAGAGAGACAAGACCGACAAGGCGAACTCTCTCCAGATAAACTTGGATGTTTCTGAGGCAAACGCCCTCGAACCCCTTGGGTTCCGATCCACAGCCCCAGAAGCACCCCCCGCCGCCGCCCCTTCCTCCGTACTCCACCTTCTGCAGCGGCACCGAGGACCCTCCCTCTCCCCGCAAGGAGAGCGCGCGCCGGGCGGAGGTTCGGAGGGGCCAGCGCATCTCCCAGACAGGCTCAGAGTCCTCCTGCACAAGCCTGCTGCTCGCAAAAGGGCAAATATCAAGGGAGCAGGGGAGGGAGAAGAGTGTCATTCGGGCTCTGAGGGGACACGCAGAGCCTTGGTGGGACGTGGTGAGGTGCGGAGAGCTAAACGCAGGAAAGGAAGAGACTTTGGCAATTGGCCGTCCCCCGCCCCGCCCACGTGAACCCCGTCGGTGGTGAGGGTCTTGGGGTGGGGACCGGCCGGGCTGTGCACTCTTGTCCCACGGGTTGGAGCCACCACCGCGGCAGCAGCCTAAAGCGGAGCCCTCTCCCGCGCCGTGCCGCGCTCTGGGGGCACCGGAGGACGCGCGGAGGCCGCGGAGGCCACCCGGGCTCGCGCGCAGCCCAGGCGGAGACCGCCGTCCTGCGCCAGGAAAGGGGCGACCCGGCCCTAGGCCTGTTCCGACAGGTGCAGGCGCGCGGGCTTCCGATTGGTTGCGGCGGCGGCGGGTCCCTTCCCCCTCCCCGCGCTGGCAGGGCCCCTTCCCCAGCCGCGGCGCTGCCTGGGTCTGCGGAGGCGCGTGCCCGCCGCGTGCGTGTCCGGGCCGCGCGCCTCCGCCCCGCCCCCGCCCCCTCCCTCTCTCCGCGCCGCCGCCGCGCGCTCGGGAGCTCAGGTAGCGGGCGCGCGGGTGACTCCTCGGGGGCGCGCGGCCGGACTGCCGTCCTCCCCCGCGCAACTCCCGCACCCGTCCGCTCCCGGAGCCTGGGGAGGGAGAGCGCGGGCGGGGGGAGCTGGAGCCGGGCGCCGCCGCCGCCGCCGCCGCCGCCGCCGCCGCCGCCGGCCGCCGCCGCCGCCGCCGCCGCCGCCGCCGCGGCTTCCGTCTCGCTCGCTCGCGCAGCGGCGAGCAGAGGTCGCGCACAGATGCGGGTTAGACTGGCGGGGGGAGGAGGCGGAGGAGGGAAGGAAGCTGCATGCATGAGACCCACAGGTAAGACCGAGAGCCCCGGAAGGGGCTTTCCATCCCGGGGAGGCGCTCGCAGGCCGAGGAGGGGGAGTTGGTGCCTGGTTCTGCTCCCCGAGGGAGGAATTTTTTGACAGCGCAGAGAAATCTCACTGGGGACTGGGCAGTAGGACCCATCCCGATCCTGGGGAAAACCAGAGAAGTAGCTGGGGGGATCCGGTGCCACCTCGTGAGATTGCTAGGAGTGAAATGTGTAGGCCCGGGGAAAAGTGTTTTTTCAGCCCCGAGAGGCTGGAAGGCTTTAGACTTTCCTGTCGTGGCCACAGCCGCTGAATCCGGGGCACCGGCGCGGAGCCAATGTGCGCTAACCCCTGCCCTCCCACCCCTCCTCCATCCCTCCCGCGCGCGCAGCATCCCGCGGCGGCAGTTACTCAGTGTACCCCGCGCTGGGGAGAAGAGGGGGGAGCTCGCAGTGGGAAAGGGGGCGGGGGCCGCGCGGGTGAGGAATAGGAAAGGAGCAGGGGAAGCCGAGGGTCCCGGTCCCAGGGCGGAGGAGGGGGAGCGTGGCCCCCGGCGCCCCGGCAGCCTGGGGTATCGTCGTGTTCGCTCTTGGTTGCAGACTCTTGCAAGCCGGATGCCCTCTGTGGATGAAAGATGTATCATGGAATGAACCCGAGCAATGGAGATGGATTTCTAGAGCAGCAGCAGCCTCAGTCCCCCCAGAGACTCTTGGCGGTGATCCTGTGGTTTCAGCTGGCGCTGTGCTTCGGCCCTGCACAGCTCACGGGCGGTGAGTGACCCCGCCGTGGCGGGGAGGGGCTGGGATGGCAGGGAAGGGGGGCCTGGCTGGCAGGATAGCCTTGCCACTACGCCCCCCCTACACCCCACACTTCTGGGGTACCCGAGAACCCGAGGAGCCCCTGTGTCCCAGCCTGAGACCACCCTTCTTCAAAACCCCTGGAGTTCCCAGAAAATTCCTCTGTGGAGCCTGCATAGATTCACACACCCACATTCTGTCTGGAGCTTCCCACCAGCCGCCCATCCTGGCTTCTCTGAAGGAAAGACAATAAGCCTGGCCCATTATTCTCACTTTGGCCAAGAGAGAGAGAGAGAAAGAAAGTGGTGTATTTGTGGCGAACGTGTGTTTGTGGACCTTTGACCCTGGTCTGTGCCCTCAGCAGAGAGAGGTCAGTTTTCAGCTTCTGGATTTAGGCCAGAGTTGCAAGAACCACCTTTGTGAATGTGAAGGGTCTGGAAATGTGACCAGACTGGCTGCAGGACAGCTTTATTTGAAAGTTAACTTTCTCTTTGCCTTGGGAGGCGGTGTGTTCAGGCATGCCCGTGCATGTTGGCGGTGGGGAGGGGATGCACAGTTGTTCCTTCAGATGTGTTTCTGGAGAACTGCTTGGCTTATCCAGGTCTGAGTTACAGGGGGAATAAAGTCGAGTGCTTTTCTATGAAGTGGAAGTTAGCTGAAATCAAATTCAGAGCCTCAGAGGCGTCTCAGAGGTGTCCTCAGAGGCGGCTGATCTCTGACGTATTCGGTTCTGGGGGGGGAGGGCTATCTTTTGGTTGTGGTAGAGGAAGGTGGATGGCATTCCTGTCTGAATTTAAGAGCCTAAGGGTCTTTCTGCCACCACTGCTCTTTGCTGTCCATTCCAGATTTCCTGTGAGAGCTTGCTGATGTGGGCATATTAAAAGGACAGAATCATGTTTCTGGAGCTGAAAAACTGTTAATCTACAAAGAAATTATAACTGGTGGAAAAGCAGCTATCGATTGATACAAGTAAACCCTTTTAGTGTTTTAAAATACTGCCGTTTTAGAGAATTCAAAGGTGAAGATGGAAATAATGAGTGAAAAATTAGTAGAAGTGGGGGAGGGCACTACCAAGTTGGGCTTTAACACAGAGGAATCAATAACCCAGGCGTTGCACTTAGAGGTCTGAAAGATGCCAGGAGTCTAAAGGAGCTTCCTGTGATGTGCATGTTTATCGGAATTAGTGAGAAAACACTCACTTTGGATGGAGGAACCGGTTTTGGTTTTTCAACAAGGGGTAACTTTTTTGGTGCTCCCTTTTTTTATAAAAATGTCTCTGAGGCAGGTGTCCTCTTCATAGAGACCAAGGTCAAGTGGGATGCCAGGCCAGCACCTGTGTGGCCTGCCAGGGCTCTGGTCACAGCCTCTGTCCGCCCGTGAGCTCCACTTGGAGGGTGACTGAGGGTGACTGAGACCAGGTGGGCAGGACAGCCTCGAGCAGGGCCTGGTCATCACCTCCCCTCTTCCCTTTTCTTTCCTCCAGTTCTAGCTGTCATTTCCTTAAACCAGGTGCACGTGATTCTCCATCCTCTCTGTTCCTTTCTCCAGTGTAGGTGACAGGTTAGTCAGGGTTCATCTGTGTGTGTCTTGACTGTTGTTATTGGATGTGTGAGGTGTGAGCACAGCCTGGACTTGGCTGGCCCTTGGTTCTGCCATTTGTGTTTACAGAGCATCCCCCCACTCAAGGATCTCAGAGCTCAGTACACAGCACAACCCCCTCAGTCTCACATTAGTCACCCATGTGGTTGTACAACACGTCTTTTACTCCCCTCTTCCGAGAGGCAAAGATATCAACAGAAAGATCCAGGGCCTTAAAGAAGGCGGGACGAGGGTTGCCTGTTACCTCTCCCTTCTTTTTTTTTTTTTTTTTTTTTTTTTTTTTTGCGGAACGTGGGCCTCTCACTGTTGTGGCCTCTCCCGATGCGGAGCACAGGCTCCGGACATGCAGGCTCAGCGGCCGTGGCTCACGGGCCCAGCCGCTCCGCGGCATGTGGGATCTTCCCGGACCGGGGCACGAACCCGTGTCTCCTGCATCGGCAGGCAGACTCTCAACCACCGCGCCGCCAGGGAAGCCCTACTTCTCCCTTCTTAGTTCCCACACGCTGCAGAAAGGCTGGCCATCAGCTTTGTGTCATCTGGAACTCCCTCAGGTTGAGTGTGATTTCTGGAAGATGATTTATCATTTCAAAATTCTTCCATGAATAAACAATTTGGGTGGAAAAGCGTGGTGGAGGATGTTCTATGGAGTTCACTGTACAGAGATTTCTTTCTTAGTAAAGAAGTCCACGTGGAGGCTACAGGGTGGTTTCATTAAAGCAAATTCATTTTAATTCTAGACCAGTACTTCTAAAATTTTAATGTACTTATGAATCACTTGGGATCTTGCAAAACGGCAGATTCTGGTTCAGCTGGTCTGGGGTGAGCCTGAGAGTCTCCGTTCCCAACAAGCTCACAAGTGATGCAGTCACTGCTGGTCTCAGGACCACACTTTGATTAGCAATGCTTTCGACGAAGAATTCCTTAAAACAGGTTGGTTCTGACTCCAGACTTTCTGCCGTCTCTCTCAAATACCCAAATACAAATGGCCTGTGAAGAGGCAGAAGTCTCACCCAAGCGTCTCATCTTTAGGTGACACACGGAACTGAAAGCCAGCCCTCAGAGGGTGCTGTCTTTTTTTTTTTTTTTTTTCCATCCATGAAAAGGTGCCTATTTAATAGACACTGTTCTGAAATGTGGATTGCTTTCAATGGAAAAGGAACATGACAATAGCAAGATATAATAGTCTAAGCTAGGAGGGGAAAAAAAAAGAGCATGTGCCCGATACAGGAGTTACAGAAAAAGCCTGAACTAGAAGGGAAAAATTGAGCAAGTGATCAGATGAAGAAAAGGGGGGAAAAGAACTGTCAAAAACGAAGTGCTTTCTCCTAGGAAGCCAGAGGTTCACTTCAATTCTCGGAGCCCTAAGGGAGCTTTAATGAGCCTGAGTTGGCCTGAGGTGACTTTTGGATGGCTCTTTCCAGGTTGCCGTTTATACATTAGGAAAGAGGGCCCACATTTGGGGCCACTAAAGTCATATACCGTGAGAGGAGTAACATCGGGTTTACAGGGAGACGCAGGGCCTCGCTGTTCCCAGAATCTGCACGCAGCACAGCTTCTGCTGCTTCTCTCTTCTTCCCTCGCAGTATGTGTTCCCTGAGATGGTTTTTGGGTATTTGAGGTCTGCCCGGAGTGGTCCACCCAGGCTTAGAGGAAGAGAGCTAAGAGTTTGCTTTATGTTTAGGTCCTTGAAGGCAAACTCATTAGTACAACCTTATAGTATCAGGAACACCAGCCACGCTCTGCTACTTGATAGCTTTGGGGTTTGGGGCATTGGAAGCCTCAGTTTTCTCATCCATAAAATGAGGATGATGCTGCCTAACTTTCGGGGTTGCTGTGAGGGATGGGAGTCGTGAACACACTCAGTAAATGTAGACAGTAGTGAGCAGGGGGCTAACCAATCTGTAACCTTCCCGGCCTTTGTTTTATTCCTTCAGTAAAACCTGTGACAAGCACTGCTGTATATAATGTTCTTTTCCCCTAGAAGAACCCTTCCTTCCTCTCTAGTTTTTGCCCAGTGAACACATTTCTCTTTAAGACCCAACTTAAAATGCCATCATCTCTTTCATATTTCATTTCCCCCCTGCACTAGGTATAACCCTTTGTCCTAGTGTCATCTCATCCACTAGAGCATAAGCCCATTGAAGGCAAGAACCTTGACTTTATTTATTTTCATGTCCCAGGCACCCAGCACAGCATCTGATACACAGAAGATGCTCAGCTAATGCTGACTGACAGCAAGAAAAGACATTCCCAAATTGCTGACACACCGTTTAGAAAATAATTACCATGGGCGGTTACAAAAGTGCTACAAGAGTGTCATGGCGATTGAGGCCACTTCCACTTGGAGGAGGCCTGGGAGGTTGGAGGAGAATTCAGGAAAGGTTCTAGAGAAGAGGTGGCGCTTAGGATGAGATCTGAGGGAGGCAGTGGCTGCAGCATCTCAGGGGAGAGACACCTTGTGCAGAGGTGTGGAGGTGGTGACGTCATTGAACTGTTCAGGGAGACAGAACAGTCTGGATCGTCTAGAACATGGTAGACCTGCAGGGAACCAGTAGGTAAGGAGGAGCAATAAATAGATTGGGACCCAATCATAAGCCCCCGTGAGGATTCCGAGTGTCGCACGGCAGGCAGTGGGAACCACTGAAGGGTTTAGAGCAGGAACGTAATATCATCTGAGCTATGCTCCCTTTCCTTTCTCTGCTTCCAAGTCTCTGACCCAGGACACTCCCCGTTGGGCTGCCCAGTCTGCACATCAGAGTTGTGGCACTAGTACCGCTGGCTTAAGCTCCTGGAGGTCTTGTTTGGGCCATGTGGCCGTAGCATTGAGCTGTGTGCCAGCAGGCAGGAACAGATGCTGTCTGCCCAGCTCACTGAGTTGGAGGTGCCAGTCTCTCGGAGTTTGAGAAAGATTCCTTACGTGGTAGAGTGTAAGCTTCTCCTGCAATGTTATGTCTAAAAGCCACAGTTTCAACCTGTACTTAATTCAGTCTGTAAACAAAAGTCCCAGCACCTCAAATTATAAAGCATGTTTCTTCAACAAAAGGCCACTCTAATATAAGCAGCATGGAAACGCTTTTGATTTATCCCCGAGGTGAAATCGGAAAGCTCTGGGAGACAGGGGAAGGATTTCATACCACAAGTAGCGAATCTCTCATCTCAGAGGCCTGAAGTGGCAAGTTGGAGAGAGTCAGTGGTTCTTTAATTCCTGAGAGTAACAAAGAGTGTAGGTGAGGATTGCTCTCCAGTAAATATTGATTAGATACGGGAAGAAAAGCACCCATGTGACACTTTTCCTGATGTCAGAGGCATATTTCAAAAGCTTCCAAAAGGCCATGGAGACTTGCCCTTAGCTGGGAAGCTCTGGTACAGCTTGA